ATATTGGATATTTTTGTATTATAAGCTTGAAGATGGCCTATTAAGGCAGAAACTAGTCACTTAATAATCTTAACAATAAATTGTCGAGTTTTATGCATTCTTCTAGTAATTTTTTGATGATTTTTTTTTAATTTTAGCCAAACAGAGGCATGACCATCTATTGGTCTATTTACATTTTGGTAATTTTGGACAACTATTTACAATATTTCGATTCATTTTCATTATTTATTGGGTGTTGTCGCTAAAAGTCGCTAAAGAATCAAGTAGGCAAAATTGTCAACTTATTTTGACGGCTTGTGTTTTTGATAGATTTCTTTAACGTCAGCCACTAATAGTCACTAATAAGACTTATTTGCAAACCTGAAGTTTGGACATTAGAGTCCTTGTCCTTAAACATATTTCTAACCTCATTTTAAACTAAAGTTCATCTTTTTTGTTTTCAATAATAGTACATAATATGGAAGAGTCATTAGAAATTATCATCTTAGAAGGTTTGGATGACGGTGATATTAAATATTTAATATTAAAAAACTTTGAACTGATGCGCATGCTCAGATGTCAAAATAAGAGCGGCGCAATAGACCTTTTCATCATGTCAGGAGAGCAAGCACAGCCACCATGTTGAAATAGCGGTAATTCAAAAGTTTCGTACTCTTTTGATCGACAATGGCTGGAAAAGCAATATTATCTCTACAGAAAAATTAATCTTTAGAAAAAATCGTAGATGGTGATTAACTTTTTTATAACTCTGTGGAAGCGCATAGTTGTGAGCAGTTGAAAAGGTGGTTGAAGTGTCTTGGATGTTTGCTACAAACGAAAAAAGGGGACTGATTGAGAGGTTAGGTGTATCAATACTGCTTAACTGTGTAAAAAATTAATGAAAACAAATAATAATTGTAACTTCATTCTAATTAGTTAGGCCATCCAACTATTAGTACTTGCTAAAACACTTTAACATGATAGTTAATAACTAGTATAATTAATAAAATGAATGATTTAATATTTTGAGGATCAATATGACATTTTTAATCATATTACTGTGTATACCGAAGTAGTATTTAATATTAAAAAAATATTGTGTAATACCAGATAAGAATTTTCTTCTGTTGGACCATTTTCTCCATGAAAATGTAGTGAACAAATATAAGTATCTTTAGTAACATCATCAATACATCGAAAACCGTTGTCACTTCGACCACATTTTTTTACACCTAATGCACATTTTGCGCTTTTTGAAAATGTTTTAATATGGATTATTTGCCTGACAATTTGATATTTTTTTTACGATGTTGCAGCCAAGGCTTTGGAAAATTTATGAAATATTATGTATTGCCTTTGAATGATTTATACTGTGTGTCACTTTTAGATACTCCATAACAACCGTTCCGTTTCCGTACAAATAACATAATTATAATTGATTGCAAAAATGTATTTTTCAATTCAGACACTAAACTTATTATTACTTTACTTTTTCTTGCTTTTTTTAAATGAATATACCTAAATTAATATTTATCGATTATAATTTTTTTTCCTGTAGGCATTTTAACATGCTTGTTACCAAAAACAGTACGAAAAAGATGGCCGATATTGACACATGCGCACAAAAAGAAATTGTGATGAAAAGGTCTATAGTGACTGACCTTAAGTAAACTTGCAATAACTCTCTATTGATTATAATATCGCTTGAGTGGGGGAGATAATGACTATCAGTAATTCTATATTTTTCCGTACAATTTTTCCAACGCAGAATATGCGATATTGTGTACATTGTACATTTATTGATTTTGGTGATGTTAATTCAAGAGTTGAGAAAAGAGAGTACACAATACGCTTTGCTCGACGACGAAGAATTAGGTTTGAAAGTTTGAATTTTCAAAAGTTCCATTGGATAATTTTTCGAAAAATTTCGAATGACAAAAGTTCAAAAGTGAGAAAAGATCAAAACCACAAAAGATCGAAATTAGAACAAATGATCACATATGATCGAAATGGTATAAGATCGAAAGCATTATATTACGAAATTAATAAATTAGTTGTTTTTTTAATTTTTTTAATTTTATTTATATTTTTTTTCGAAGCAACCCGCGATGGCTCCAGGCCGCACAGGTTAGGCAAATTAGTTAAGTTTTTTTAATTTTTCTCATTTTTTCGAGGCCGAATTTAATTTTTTTCTCTGGATCACTCCATATTATTCTTCCTTGTTCATGTGAGTTATTTTTCAAAATGTTATAAAAATTATTAGAAAATTTTATATTTTGTTTTATAACCGGACCTGTACTCGCACTAAATATTTTAGGTTTCAATATACATATTACAGTAATTACCTTCTTACGAGTAATTTATTAATACAAATAGACTTTAAAATGTTATCCGGTTTTAATTAAAAATGTAAAACTCTAGATTTAAATGTCACCCGTAAAATCGGATGCGAAACTACAAAAAATTCATTTTTTGATTAGACGTTTTGTGCTATTTTAAAATATCAAAATGGATTTGAAAATTCTGATAGGCACATAAAAAATTACAAGTTTTTTTGTTAATCCGGACTTAGAGTTTTTCTGGTTGTTACGTCAGTCATTTGTGTAGCGAAAGGGAACCAAGTAAACCAATTTAAAAAAAAGATATACTGGGTGGTTTGTTAGTTATGGTTGAAAATGAGCGGGATGACCTCATCGCCTTCCACTGCAACCCAGTTATGACTTTTGAAAGAAATGTGCGAAATATATAAAACACCCTGTATCTTTACGGTGAGACCCATTAATCGGGTCGATGGTGTAGCGGTCTATCGCGCTTATATTCATTTATAGGCGTGTTTATGAGTCCGAGACTGCTGGGCTTCGAATCCCAGACCAGACCATGTGGATTTTTAATTAAATTGCATGGTTCGGTTTAGGATTTGATGTGTGCCGTATTAATGGAAATTCAATTTCTGTTGATATGACATGCAGATTATAAAATCGCTATACATTATCGTCTCGATGATGGCGGGTGAGGTTTTCCGGGTTTTCCTCACCTGTAAGTCAAATGGCACCATCAATCATCCTTAAGTCGCCCCGGAGCGCCACGGAAAATAATAATAATATCCGTCCCTTCCCCTACACAAGTCGTTCAGTCGACTTCAGGGGTTAAAATTCACTCGTAAGGGGGTGAATTAGGGAGAGTATTATTATTATTATTATTATTAATCATAGGTTTTTTAGAATTATTATAGGTCCCCTATCCACAGCTAACACACGGGTTACCCACACCAGATGCGACAGTTGGCAAAAAACATCAAAACAAGAGGGCCATACTGATTTAAAGATCCTTCGTAGAAACTGGTTTCCACTCGGACAACTTTGGAAAACAAAAATTGATTCTTTAAGCGAAGTTTACACCAATCCTATCAATTTACAATGCAACAATGTTAAACCAGAATAATTAAAAACATCTATGACATACCCATTTAAAGTTTCAAGGTCATATAATTCTCATTTTTACCGGTTTTCGCCTCTGGGGGTGATTTGTGGTTAACGTTTGTCCGTTTGTCACTCAAACATCCTGTATATTATGATTTGTTTGTATTGAAAACGTTTCGTGGTCATGGTAACCAACGTACCACAACACATGGACAACGGCGTTGTATTGTCACTTTAATAATAAAATTCAGTCAACTCAATGGATGAAAACAGGGTCACGTGAAACAGGGTGTCCCAAAAAAGTAGGCCAATCCGTTAACCATAGATTCCTTGGATCATTGTAAGAAACCTCTATTATTATTTTTTTCGATTGGAGCCATCATGTTGAATATACAAGGTGACAAAGTTAATTTTAAAAACGTATTGCGTTATAGTTTCGTCGTTTTGTCAAGTAGATGACTTAAAATTGGTACACCGGGGTTGTTTGGGATGACAAATCATAACTTGAGCCTAAATATCATATACCTCATAGAGGGCGCTAGTTGCAAGTCACCATGTATATATTGAATATGATGGCCCCAATAAAAAAAAAATAATAATAATAATAGAGGTTTCTATGGTTATCGGATTGGCCTCCTTTTTGGGACACCAAGTATAATCTATGAATAAATATCTATGTACTTGTAAATTAAATCTTAAGAAATAAAGTGCCCGAGACGTAGAGTTGTTTGGCCACTCTACACTTCTTGTTTGCTAAACGGCTCAAGTGAAAAGCAATTATCTCCTGCTTTTTCCTAAACTGCACGATTGGTATAAAAAGTTAAGAGAATATTTTTATAATACGGTGTATTAGTGATTGCACAGGAAGAGGCCAAATATAGTTGATTTCAGTCGGTTTCTTTTTATGGACTATATTTTTTTTGAATTATTGAGAAAAGACAAATAAAAACAATAGAAGAATACACTGAAGAGACAGCTAGGAGGGGTGAATTATAAAAACTGAAGAATGTGTTACAATGTCTGGTCGACTGAATCACAAGGAAAAGAGGTCATAATAAACATAGCGGAATGAAGAAAGGAAAAACTTGACAGGAAGCAATGTAGTTAGGACAAAGAAAAAAATGGTATAAATAATGAAGAAATACTAAATATAGCCAGCTCTAAACTTGATGGACATTATTATAATTAATAATTTCTAAACAACAAGACATTAATATCCAGAATATACAGAATTGACATGAATATCGTTTATATCTAATCCATTTTAGGATTCTGCAGATGCATTGATTGAAAGGTTGTATATAACGTTGGCCCTAGATATCTATTCAGTACCTACGTGTTTTTCCCTCTGCCCAGTTACAGATTTCATTTGTATAATTCTTTTATATTACTGGCTTTTCTTCTATGGCGAGCATGTCGACTTTTTGCCCTCCACCTCTCGCTATATATCGCCACCAAAATTAATAGTGAGTATCAAAACAACCCAAAGGTCCAATAACACTCAGTCTAATAATTATGAAATTAAAAACGATAGGTTTTTTATATAATTCTTAACAATCAAGAAAATAAATTATACAAGATAAGAAATAATTATAATTAAAATACTCTTTTTTCTTATTTTAAGGAAACCTTTTCATTGTTTGGAAAGACCTAAAACAATGTTTTCGCGAATGTAGCTTTATATGCATGCATGCTTTAAATAGAAGAACAGTCCAAAATTCAAATTCATCATCTTGCTATATTTGCTAAATTAGTTGCAACAAGCTGACGGATTTGGGTCTTTTCCTGATCGCTTGGTAATAGATAATCGTATAAATTCTTCTGCTATAGTAGGATGGATTCCTATCGTATCTACAAGATCTTTGTATGTTAAGCAGAGCCTCATTGCAGCGGCGAATCCTTGTATAACTTCACCGGCATTTGGTCCGATGAAATGCATTCCTAGAACGTACTGATCACCTTCTCTTTTTGTAATTATTTTCAAATAACAATTTCTATAACTCCTTTGAGGTATGAAAAATTCTGTTGGTTTGTAATATCCATGATAAATCTCGAGGCTGTCTTCACCAAATCTCTCAATTGCTCTTTCTTCACTCATGCCGACTGAGCCGTATTCTAAAGGAGTAAATACAGTTGTAGGAATAGTATCGTAATCCATATTTTGTGTGGAATTGGAGAATAATCTTTTAGCCAATAACTTACCAGCAAGTATGGCTACAGGCGTCAACTCTGGTTTTTTGTATAAAACATCTCCAACAGCGTAAATATTGGGCACATTTGTCTGTTCATTTACAACATCTATTTTATCACCATCTGCTGCAACCTTGACACCAGCATTTTCTAGTTCCAGTTCTTTTGTCTTAGCCATCCTTCCAATTGCGAAGAGAACTGTATCAAAGTTGTCGCTAAAAACTTCATCACTATCATTTTTCCAGGTCACTTTTAATTTGTCATCATCTAATTTTTCAATGTTGGTAGGCAAACATTTTTTCAGAAAACTTACACCTCTGTCTTCCAGTTCTGTTTTAATAATTTCGGCCATTTGCCTATCAAATCCTCTAAGAGGGACAGATCTCATCATAATAGTTGCGTTGTAACCTAGACCATTTAAAAACCCTGCACTTTCTAATGCAATGTAACTAGCACCAACAACTAAAGTTTTACCAGGAGGATTCTTTAAAAAGAAAATATCATCGCTTGTAATCCCATATTCCATAGCGCCGGGAATATCAGGATAACGGGGCCTACCTCCTATTGCGATTAAAATGTACTTTCCAACTAATTTTCGTTCTACTCCCTTTGCGACTGTACTAATTGTATTCGCATCTACAAAAACTCCAAAACCGTTAATATATTCGATTTTCCTATCTCTAAGATCAACTCTTATTAACCAATTGACTGATTTGATATGATCATGAATAGCTTTCCTTAAAGTTTCCCAATTAAGTGAAATATTCTTAGATTCAGGAATTTCCCAACCGTAGTACTGTGCGTCGACTATAGAGTCACCTAATATCGAAGCGTGATGCATAAATTTTTTAGGAATACATCCTACATTGACACATGTACCTCCTAGACCCCATTTGTTACCTCTGGGACTGGGCGTAACGTAATCCAAAAGACATACTTTGGCTCCCAAATTTTGTGCTTCTTTCGCTGCCGCTATGCCACCCGATCCTCCTCCAAGTACAATTAGATCATAACTATCTTGAGTAGACGTTACTTCAGACATTACTTCCACCGACTAAAATTTTATAAATCGTTGAAAATTACAAATACTTGTAAATAAGCTGAGAATTAAGGTGACATTATGATATTTAATGTCATATCGTGATGTCAATAGAGAGTTATTGCAAGTTCACTTAAGATCAGTCACTATTAGTGCTGCTGGTGCTGCTCTTATTTTGACATCTGAGCATGCGAAGATCACTAACTTTAATAAAGATTGTGCCTGTTCTTAATAGAGAGATATTGCAAATTTCTATAAAGCCAGCCACTAATAGTGACATCGTAATTAGAGTCAAATAAATTCCATTCTAAAATCAGACTTATTGCAAACCTGAAATTTTGACATTAGAATCATCGTCCTTATACTTATTTCTATCCTTATTTTAATAACTTTAAATTGTAGTTCATCTTTTTGTTGTCTATAATAGTACATAATATTAAAGAGGGATTAGAAATTATAATTGTAGAAGGTTTAAATGACGATTATATTAAATATTTAATATTAAAAAACTTCTAACGGATACGAATGTCGGCGAGCGCATCCGAAAGCTATAAAGTTGCCACTACCTGCTGCCCTTAAACATCCACAATCCTTAATAAAGTCAGTTTTAGAATATAAACATCTGCGCATGCTTAGATGTCAAAATAAGAGTGGCACTAATAGTGACTGACCTTAAGTGAACTTGAAATAACTCTCTAATCTCTATAATTTTTGTCTTATACATGATTTCCCTAAAATGGGTCGTATTCGAGAAATTTCAGGTAAAATGCAAAATTATTTTCACTTATGGTGCATAAATTATTTCCGGAATTTTAAGAAAATTATACCCGTCTTGGAAAATGCATTTATTTAGTTCATCCTCTAAACATTTACAGGGATAATAGACGCAATAGGTTGTACAGAATAGCTTTAAAAAGCCTATAATAACTTTAAGTAAGACAGGAAACTCATGAGTTAAACACCAAGGTTGGGCAGATTAGTTTTTTAATAATGTATTCTCAATATATTTAAACCGACTCATAGTAGTTTAAATTTCAAAATTCTTTAAAACGTTCACAATAAAAATTGACGATAGTACCTATAGTGATAGTAATATATTTTGTTGGTGTAAGGTATCGGGGAGATTGGGACACGTTGAATTACATAATAAATATATTATTAATTATTGAAATCGGACACCGTGTTAAAGAATTATCGCTGCACATACATAAAAAAAATATCCCGACGAATTGAGAACATCCTCCTTTTTTAAAGTCGGTTAAAAATTAAATAAATAAACAATACGTGAAGTGAGTAACGGTAATGAATTAGGACTTTTTTTAAGGAGACTAGGTAGCGTCATCGAAATTGAGATATTCATAACTCAAGAACGAATCAAGCCTCCGAAAAAGAGATTGGATAGAGTCGTCGAAATTGAGAAACTCATAAATCAAGCCTCAATCCAGCCTCAAGTAAAAATTACCAACTAAGGGGTAAAATGAAAACACTCTGAATATGAATCAACATTTTCCGGCTAATTAAACGGATGTCCCAAACTAACTGTAAAACGAAAATTAGTAAATTTCCTACCTTGGAAAACAGGAATAACACAGTATACCAGTCACTCGGGAAAACTAAAAACTTTACTGGCTCGGCGGCTATCACTCTAGAAGAAGAGACTACGGTGATCAGGAATCAAAGAGGGTCAAATTTTACTTCCTCATCTTATTTATACCTTTTCAGCAGGCAAACTCGAAGCCCGGCAATTTCGGAGTGGGAGATACCACCACTACATCCGACTATTTACTATTTCAAAAAGAAAAAAATGCCTTACTAGCACCTTGATAAATACAAGTAGATTATTGACATGAAATTGAATCTACAAATGCCCATTCGGATTTCGGCAAATATGGAAATAGTTTAACCTACTAGGGTACTCGCAATTGTTTAAAACAATGCCCTTTGCCACCACGACTTTTACATTCTTCCTCATAATAGTCACCTTATATCCAAAAATATTATGCTTTTTTTAGGTGTGGCGTGTGTGTTTGAGTGTGAGAGATAGTAGCCTGACTAAAAGCTTGACACCTCCCTCTTATAAGTTGTTAAATGCTTCTATTGTTACAAATTCAACTAAAATAAATAATATGAACATAAAATCTACTCAATGGTGTGATTTCGCCACAAACGTCTACCGAAACTAGTAATTAATAAAGCACTATAGTGCTTTATTATTGGTTAAGAAAAACACATAACCTACCTTCGAAGATAGATAGGTCTCAACTCTACCATTTCAAATTGTTTTAGTATGTCTCTGACTCGCTCATCAGTTGTAAAACTAAAATCACTTTAAAAATTTTAAAACAGCGTGTTCATTAACAATACAAATCACTGTTTACCCCTGAACTTAGAAACACTATAATGATGCCGAAATTTTCATATTAAATTCACAAGTCTTAGATATTCCCAGACAGCACACGACATCTTAAAGACGTCTGTTTTATGTCGTAGTTATGACTGAATGCCTAAAGACCTAAAAAAGACGTTTTAAAGGCGTCTTTTAGGACACATAAATAGACGTCTTAAAGACGTCTTTTAAATGCCTATCTATTTAAAAAAATAATGGTAACATTAAAAAAAGTACTGGCTTACTTGTCGTTTCTAATTTCACAAAATATAAATTTATTTTTAATTTTGTTTTATTAATTTACATAATTTACTTATTTTTTTTTATTTATTCACGAGCATTTGTTCATCAGAGTAAGTAAATATTTGATAACATAAAAATAATAATAAATATAACTCTTAATAAAATTAACAATTAAAACATATTAAGACAAATTGAATTACGTGCCCTTTCAATTTGACCGGAACTTCGTTCAACGATCGATGCGAATGTTTTTATTTTGCTTTGTCTTTTTTCAACAGTAGAATTTAAACAAGGACGTGTATCTGAATGTGAGTATTATTGGGGTTCCGTGGTTCGTGGCGTTCTGCGTTGTCCTTTTGTTGTCATTTGTCGTTGACGTTAAAGATGAAAGCCGAGAGGTTAGTTTTTGTTCGTTATTCGTATGAAGCACATACTTTGATTTTCTTTTACTATACGGAGAATGGTCGCACTGCGCTGCTTTCTGAGTGCCTTTTAAAAGGAGATAGAAAACTCCGCCATTTTGAACCCTTATTACGTGTTGCCTACATCTTGGCGCAATATTTTTAATAGGTGCGTTTTAATCATCCGCTTCTGCTTCGGAATTGTCGGTTTTCTTGTTTTAATCTGACAGGTTAAAACGACTAAACCGACAATTCCGGAAGCAGAAGCGGATGATTAAAACGCACCTGATATTTTGCTTGCTGCTGTCAGTGTCAGTGAATATTATTTTTGAAGTCACAGTTTATTGCTAAAGAATCAGTTAGCTCACTCGGACCAGTTGAAAGTTTCAAAATAACATCCACCCCAGGGATACAAATTCAGGATACGCAGAGGACTGCTGTTTTATTGTAGGCGGTTGTCATATATTGTATTATCCGAGTTGCACAGTGTATAAACTGAAACATTGAGATCAAAAGTGCCGACGCAGAGTGAGCGATCTGATTCTTTAGCTGTAAACTGTGTCACAGGGTTCAAAATGGCCGCGCCCTATGTTGGGCGTGTCGGACCTCTCTCTTGCCTCGTATAGTAATCAAAATGTGTGGTATGAAGACTAGAGGTAAGGAGGCGAATCGGCATGCTCAAAATACGGTCCCAAAAATCACACGTCAATTGAGCTTTTATAATTAACCACATGGGCGCTGGTACGGTTTACGTAGTTCAAAATACATGGCTTCTTATGGGAATTATACATAATTTTGTCAAAATAATAAAAATAAACTTGTTTACAGCTAAATAAAGCACAGAACATACTGTTGTATTTATTTCCAAATAAGTCTTGCATGTTTTAATTGATAAATTATTTAATTTTATCTATATAAAATACAATTTTGGTATGTAAGTATGACCAAATTCTTAATTGCTGAAATTTGATAAGTACAATTTTGTGGCAATTTTTTTTTTTGAATTGAACCAATATATAGTTTTAAGAGTAAAATAAAACGCAGTTAACAGATTTTTTATTGTTGTAATACAAGTATAAAGGGAGATTTGGGAATGTACATGGTATTACCTCATTCTTTAATTTCAGCTGTCCCCTTTTTATTTTGCTAACAGTACCATTAGTTAAAATAGTCTCATCAAATTTTAAAATATCTTCTAGAAAGTGTAGCTCGCAAACAGAATCATAACTAGACAGTACTTTATCAGCCCTAGGAATCACATGCTGCCATTGTTCTAAACGTTTAGGATCCTATAAAAAATATTTGCAATGACTAAATTGAAGTTCAATAAAGAAAAATAACAGTAGTAACTTTTCATCTAAAATCAAAAAACAAAAAAAACAAAATTTTCTTTTCTAGTAAGTTAAATTTAATGTGTGATTATTGTTGTTTGTAAGTCAGGATTTATCACTTTATTATTTTTTATTATAAAATTTTGTAATTAAATAAACTACACTCCGTAAGATACGGGTTGTGACTATTTTATAATAAATATATATTATTTAGAAATAAATACATTATTTTACTTACAATAGGAGCTTTAAAAAGACTTCGAATTTTATCCCCTTGTGTTTTCTTTAATTTTATATCGGATTTATATCCCGTTTTTCAACCCGAAACGTAGAAATCCTGCTTTTCCGTTTTTTGATACTCATTGTTACTTATAGTCAGGTTCTTTATTTCAGCTTATTTTTATTCTTTTCACTAAATTTTACAAAAATCACTTTAATTCCCATTGACTTGCATAGAAAATAGACGTTGTTATTTTGCCACCCGCCAACTACAGTAGTTTTTTGGAACTCCATAAAAATAGGGACGGAAATTTGACCAAGGCCGATTCGCCTCCTTATATCTAGTCTTCATAGTTATTCGTTCATTTTTTTATTTGTGTCTTGTGCCGTGTATTACTGTGAATTTATAAGCATAAAAGTTTACTGCATATATTGAAAAACCAAATAGAAGAACCTTTATTAGTGTATTAAGTACGTCTAGGCGTCTAGAGCTGACTTAATGTTACTTTTTTTTAACGAAATGTTTCAGTGTTTTGTTAATAATAATGTTTATAGAAAATATGTGTTCTATTTTGTATAGAAGGAATTTACGGAGCTTTTAAAACTAAATCCGAGAGTACGTCTTACCAATGTCGAAAAACAGACATATTCAAGATGTCTTAAGAACGTTACCTTTTGTAACATCAGACGTCTTAAAGATGTCTTTAAGACGTCTCGGTGTCATAAGACGCCTTTTAGTCATCTGTCATGTCTCTGACAGACGTCTTATGGACGTCTTAAAGATGTATTTGTGCTGTCTAGGAAGTCATGCGACACCTTGTGAGAATTTAAAGCATTATATTTAAATGTAATTTGTAGATAAAAAATAACTGATTCGTTTATATTTTTATAAATTCCAAGTTATACATACTGGAATATGAAAATCAGAGAAATATTACGTGTAAACTACATAGTTATCAGCAACTTATAACTGCAAATTACAGTTGAGCTTTACCTGTAAATCAGAGATACCTTACTTTTGCGAATTTGCCAAGGTTATGCGTTCAGTTAAAATAACTATAAAAATTGGAGAGTACATGTAATTTATAGATCGCCAAGTTATAGTTAAAACTTTCTGAAAAACAATTTAAATAACTGACACCTATAATATATAGAACAGATAAATAAAACGTAAAGTTGCAATTGTATTATTTGAAAATTGTAACTTTACTTAACTGAAGACTTTTTACATCTAAATTACTTTTATTATCGGACTCTATATTTTATTTAGTTAAGGTTATGTGAAATTTTCAGGTACGATATAAATCACCTTTATAATTTAGATTTAAATAACTTTGAGCCCTACTTAATTAGGGCAAAATGAAAATTACAACTACATAAAATCATAAATTTTTTCCCAGAGATCCATTCGCATTATTAATTTTTCAGTTTTATAATTTGCAATCTGTAGATAGAAACAATCAGAGATACGCTTTAATTTGCCAATAAGTTACTTGGGGTTAACGAGGTGTTTCTAGACTTCGCCAGGCTGGTCGCCATTTTCACGTGGGATAGATTCATAAATCAGAGAAAAGTTGCGGGTCGTAATTAAGTCTCACCATTGTAATTGCGGAGGATTAGCCCACGAGCGTTCAGGCCCGAGATCGTGATTATACGGACCACTTGCATACAAACAATATTTTATTATTTTTCATCCAAAATGACCTCAATTACACGAGATGATACTACGAGAATATCGTCTATTTTCAAATATTAACAAATCATACGTTTCGCTATTATTGACTTATTTATCAGAGCAGTTTTAGTCGTTTGACAATGATTTTCTGGATTCGATAAATTTTATTGTTACTTCGATTATGATAAATTTTAATTGTCTAAAAAATCTTGGTCGTGTGAAGATTTTTCAAATATTTTAAACGAAAGTTAGGTTTCTTCAAATTTTAAGTAAAAATGAATAAACGATTATCAATGGCGATTCATTGCAAAATCGTATACGTTAGAGGTAGCTAGGGACACAAATTGCTCATTACTGCAATTATTCATATGGTGCTGAACAGCCTACGAATTCCAGATCCAAATTTAAAAACAAAAACAAATTTGATTCACTTCAAAACAATACCTTGTAAGTAAAAAGTGATCCACACAAATGTTTCTAAAGTAAATCAAAACCGAGAAAGACACTTAAACATAAGAAGAATTGCATACTACGACATGTCTACTTTAGGATATTGTTTTTAATGGATTACTCCATATTATCAGCTAAAATTCATATTAAAAACTCTTTAATTGACCCTGCCAAAAAAGGATTGAAAATTTGAATTGTATTGTCATTCCATACATAAATGTTATTAATTGCTTAAACGATTATAATAAAGCTTGCCTGTTATTTATTGTATTCATTTTAAACAGGAATGTATAAATAAATTACCTACAATAGGTACAAAATGTATTAAACTTATGTATTATATTATGTTTCTCTTATTATTATGAATTTAATAATAGCTAATAAATGTATTTAAAATATGCAAATCATTTTTTTAATTCTGATAGTTTTGCGAAATCTATACAAACTCCACAAAAGTATATGCCTGGACTATACCTATACAGTAAACGTACAACGTACAGTGTCTTACCATAAATAAACCTCAACAGTAGGGTGGACAAAGCTGCAATTCATTTAATAAATGTGAATGATAAATTTACAGAATAATATTTTAAAATCTTATTTAAGTTTAGGTTCAGTCCCTTTCTGCTGTTTTTTTGTTTGTAAAAATTGTGTTTGCAAACAGCAACAAATTTACAAATTATTTCAAGGTAAAAACAAACTGTGGTCCGGGTTCGACTCGGAGGCCGTACCTT